AAAATGCTTTCCATGTTCCAAGCTAAGTAATGAGCAAAACCCACAGGATTGCTGAAATTCAGGTGTGTGTGTGTGTGTGTGTGTGTGTGTGTGTGTGTGTAAGTGCCTTTAAGTTGTTGATTGACTTATGACTACCCTATTAATTTCATAGGGTTTTCTTAGGCAAGAAATGCTCATCAAGATCATTATATTCCATAAGCCTTAGAACTTTTCACTATCCTTAGACAAGTGTTGTCAGTGATATAGCTAAAGGGCTGGTGGAGATAAGAACATTGTCCATTCAAATAAGAATTCTTCCCCTTCCAACAAAATTTATTCAGTCCCCACATTTCTAGCACTGTAGAAATTACCTGTTCTTGTCTGCAAGAATGAAACGGATGAAGATTTACATCCCTACTGTGAGGGCAGTGAGTATGTTCCGGTTTTAAACCTGACATTCAAGGAGGTATCCCATGTGCTAAGCCTTATGTCAGCCATAGATTAAGTACCTTGAATGGTTCCGTTAAGGCTTGGATTGAAACCCAAAGACAGATGTGATTCTGTACTGCTTCTAGCTTCCATCTGGTAGTGTCCAAAAATGATTCAGTTTCTGCTAGTATCAAAACAACAACAACGACAACAAATAACCCAAACTAAATTCTTTTTCAGCATTAGCTGATTTACCGATTTTGTTTTAGAAGAGCGAGATCTCCGTGTTTTTTTGTTTTTTAAAAAAAGTTAGTGCAATAACCCCCAGCACATATTTGGAATTGATAGCCTGGATTATGAAGGTCTGCCACTCTATAGCCCAAAGTAAATGTTTTCTTTCTTCCTCCTTTGTTTCAAGTCACACAGAGAATATGTCCTTGATCTGTTCTCTGACCTCAGTATTTTCTATTTAAGCATAGTTGGCCACCTTGGAAAAACAGAGCAAAACTACACTCTTCATAAAGAAAAAAATTAATTGCCCTTTTCATAAAACATTTAATGCACAGCAATACACTAAACCTCCAAAGACACGGATAACCAGCTCTGCCATAAATTCCCTGCTTATAACCCTACGATGAAACTGGCAAGCATAGCAATATATAGGTTTTACATTTAGGGGCCTTTTAAAGGTACATAAACCCCATGTCCATGCCAAGAGTTGCCTGTGGCACGTTTCAGTTATATAGTCAGCTTTTTTTAAACAACAATAAATGGGTGGTAGTCATCTACTTTCCACAGGTGTTCCATCAACCTTTGCTGTAGCAATCCATATTGCAGCAATAAAAACAGTTCTCCAGAGGTAATTCTGACCCCCCTGCTCTTCCAAATGGTGCATCCATCTATCTTTCAAAGGCACTGAATTATGATTTTTATAGTCCTGTCACATACATCTTCTTTGGGATGTACCACACTTTTTGTTTTGATCAGAAATGGGAATGAAATCACAGTGCTACCAAAATCAATGAAATGAGGGGCTTTCAAATGCACAGGGTTGATGACACTGGTACAAGGCCAGCCCAAGATATTTTGGTGCCCATAGCAAAGAATTCCTTGTTCAACATAGGATGTTATCACATGGGGGCAAATCTGCTGGTTAATCCACACAAATCCCAAACAGAAACTGGATTTGTGCCCTGTGTTTTCACATGACGTCGCATGGAGACTGGACAGAAAGTGGACAGAAGCTGGTGTTTTCCGAGATCTTTTGAAATTCAGTTGTTTGGAGGAAATGCAAATGCAAAATTAAGGTAATTTTACATTTACAGTAATGTGAAAAGCAAATGCACATTTGGGAGCATTTCCCTGTTTTTCCCATTGTTCCAGCGAGCATTCCTCTATCTGCACATGTGCAAGAAGCTCATTTCTAGTACATTTACGGGCTTTTCTCACTTGTGTGTGAATGTTAAATGTGCTTACTGTAAATTCACAATTAAGGTAATTACGTGTGAAAGCCATTGCGGAATCAAGGTTTATTTTCGGTTTATTTTCGGAATGCCTCATTTCCACTTTATTATCACTTTTTGGCCCACGTGTGATAACGTCCATACATCCGATGTGAATTCTAGATTTTGTTAGACTACAGCTTCCACCATTCCATCCCCTTTGGTTGTGCTAGATAGCGCTGATGGGAGTTGCAGTCCAAGAGTATCTAGAGTGACATGAGTTACCTAGTCTTTATCATTTTTTAGATCATGTGAGCTGGACCTACTGCTAAAGACATTTGCTCTAAAGGAGAAACTGTGCATTTATATGACTTGTGGAACATCAGGCACAACCACTCAACTTTGGGATCCTACACTGGAGGATCAGAAATTTACATTGTTCCAGAAGAAGAGTGGGTTATAAAAATTAAATC